GTAAGAACCCGGCCGCATGCATGCGTGTTGTACAGTATACCCCCAAAATAGTACGGGACTTATAGGACACCCTGTTTGAGGAATCACGATTCTCATGGTTTCGTTGCCCTATTTCCTCTCCTGGCTGTCGGCGCTCGCTCCAGTCCAGCCCGGGGGCACGGCCCATAGGGCACGGGGGCCCTTCCAGCGGAGTCCCCATTAGCCCCCCAGGCCCGGCCCACCGCCCGCATGCCGTGGGGGCGGCGTCCTTTGCACCGAGGGGGGAGGGCGGAGGGCGGAGGGGGCGGCTCGGCCTCGCTAAGCGTGCCGCCCTCATAGCGCGCGTGGGCCGAGTATGTTGCCTAACCTTTCGGCCGCAACAAACATGGGGTGTTTGTTTTCATAGTGTTGATGTTGCGCTGATAGGGATGCAATGGGGCGGTGCCAGGGCGGTGCGGGGCCGCCCAGGTGAGGGACCCGCCGCAAAGGATATTATTGCACTGCTTCGCCTCGGCGCTGCCCCCAAGAAGAAAAAAAAGGGTGTTTCCCACAAGTGGTGCGTCGTCTGCGATGGTTAATAATGGTCCCACCTCCACCCGCATAATTTCGCACATACAAGTAAAGGTAACCCTTCCGTGGGTCGTTGTGTACTTTGCAAGCAGGGTCGGCACGATCGCATTCTTTTCTTTCAGCCCGCGCGCCTCTCCGTCACGACGCAGATTTGCAGCGAGAGGGGCTACAATCGCATAAATGTGTCTTGCCTTCCAGGTTAATTCGATACCTGTTCTGTGTATGTGTATGTCTTGGGAATGAAAAAAAAGTAAACGCCAGTTCATCCGCCAACCTTTGTAGATCAATTCTTTCATTTTTATTTATTTTTTAAAACAATTATTTGCTCTAGGAGTACCCTAAATTTTGAGCCGCGTTGCTGAGCTGGCGCTGCTTTACGCATTCTGAACGGCCGCGCGTTTTTTTCAGTCGCCGAATATGACGTCCAGTTCAGCGAGGGTCGCGAGTGCGTCAACTGTGGCGCCGTGTCGACGCCGCTGTGGCGTCGCGACAACACGGGGCACTACCTGTGCAACGCGTGCGGCCTGTACTACAAGATGAACGGCATGAACCGGCCGCTGTCCAAACAGCCACGCAGGATGGTGAGCTGGGGAACCCCTCCGGTCGCACCCGCACCGCGCCCGAACGCGCCGTCGGCCCGCCGATATAGCTGTCGCTTCTAATAGTCAAAATTAATTACAGTAATACTTTTAAAATTGTTATTTTTAACAACGATGAAATCGCGTAAGTCTGGCGGCGCAGCGTGTTCGTGGCGCGTGGTAGGTGCGAGGATTGGTACTATTCACAAGGCTTCGAGCTCGTTTGATTTGGGGCACGTCACGGCATAGAGACTATGTTCTCTCCCCCACTCATGTGTTTGTAAAGGACAAGGGGGCATATATAGGGAGAGCTTTAGGCCAGATGTGTTGTGCAGGCATTTTGATTTCAACAACTAAACTATTTCTCGATGTTAACTTTTAATGGAATGATATTTTGGTTAATTATGTCATACATGCCTGAGCATACATATCTGGCCCTTTGGAGGGAACCGATACACATTCACCGCGTGCATCAGCGTCTTTGTAAAAAGTTGTCATAAATTGACCAATCCCATTTTCCCCAGTTTTATATTTTCGATTCCATTTCTGAGACATTTTCTCCAGTACGCTTCGCTTTCAGAGCCACTGCGCCCAAGTCCCCGCCGCCACTGCAGGCTGGGCGGCGGGCGCCCCCCCCGAGATTAGCCCTTTTGATCGGGGTGCCGATGAAGGGCGTCTCTCGGAGGTGTGGGGCCGGGCCGGGCGCATGCGCAGTGGCACGGGCTGTGCACGCTCTGCAGGCTGTGAGCTTCGTTTGTGTGCTTCCAGAGGCGCCCGTTAGAGGGCGCGCTGCCTGTCGACGTGCACAGTCATTGACAAATTGACAGGTTCCCAAGACGCTGCGGTGCGCGTGCGCGGTGGGTGTGTATCTGGTGTGTACGTCCTAGAGGGTGCGGGGCGGGCGGGGCGGGATGTGGGTGGAGGGGGAGGAGCAGCCGACCGAAGCCTTGTAGAATATCCCCGGCTCCAGACCGGACTGCGCGTGCTGTGTAGGAATAGTTAAAGAAAATTTTAGAGACCTCGGCCTAATTGCTTGGCTTTCTCCTGTTTGCTATCTTGCAGTGGCCGCGTCCGGGGATATCTACAAGGCGAGGTACAGCTATGGGTATAATCCTTCATCAGGAATACCCAGAACCCCAAGTACCCTTCAGGACGAGAAGGCGAGTCGCCGCTTGGTAGGTTGCTCCTTCTATTCAGGCCCCTCTCTATGTGCATGGCCTGTTTCTCTTTCGGTGGTGGTTGGTTTTCTCCATATGTCTGATAAGAACCCCGCAATTTTGTTAGTAGTACCTTGCAATTTGTTCCTTGCATGGGCTTTGGGTGGCATTCTGTTTTCATTCGTTACTTCTTAATCACCCCCCCCCCACCTTTGAAAAAATCCCCAATGTCTTTCTTTTACCGGCATGACAGAAAAAGGAGGACAAAAACGGAAATCAGAAATTACAGCCACATGTAGTCAGGGCTACAACACAACAGTATGCGGGTTTGCCTACTCGCTCCACCGTAAGGTGCCTTTGCCCCTGGGGTAGGCAAACCCCAAAACACTGTTGGGTCGTAGTCCTGACAGGCGGTACAGGGTGACCCACAGACCACGTAATACAGAGTGGTCCACAGACTCCTTCCTTTATTCTGCTTATACTGTACCGCATGCAGGCGTGCGAGCGGGCTTGCCTACCGTCGCTCACCACGGCGCCGGGTGAGTATGCAACCCGG